TGTCTTAGTAAAAATTGATGAAAATGTTAATTACAAACATTTGCGTATATCTTCTCACAATCCTTGGAATGGTTTGTGATTTTGGTTCTGTTAATCGAGTTATAAAATCAGATTATTCGGGTGTTCGAGGTCAAAAAAGTAAATTATGCATTCAACCATAGGATATTGAGATAATTTTTGGTACTCAATGAAGTCTTTAGTTTGTGGGGACCAAATAAAACTACATGAATGAGAGTAGTGAGATAACATGGGATTGCCTTCCGAGGAAGAACATTATTTTAAGAAATGATGTCTACTTTTAGATTGTTCATTATGTGTTTGTATGTGTTAGGTATGTATTTAAATTGATGAAATAAATGAGAATTGTTTTTTTTTTTTTTTGGGGTAGTGGAGAGGAGGGGAGGGGAGTAATAAGAAAAAAAATAACGGCAAGGTACAAGGTTTGGATCTTGGTGAATATCCTTATAAAGGATGAGGGGTCAAGTTGAGCTACATGTAAATGTTATAATAATTTGAGAAATAAAATCAAGATAGTTGTCTTTACTATTTTTTGCCTTTAGAATTGAAAATTGTCTGGAAATTCTTACAGCTCATTTAAGTATTATTCTATAATAATAATTTGGAGGCTAACTTCTATTTATGTTGGGGATGCATGGACTGTGCTGTTAATGGCCATGCTTTGTGGCCGTGCAATAGAATTCTTGATAGGGAGTTTCTGCAAATTAATAAAAAAAAAAAAATGCTTATAGGGATATGCTCGTGTTTCAATATTGTTGGGAAAAATACAACGGCATGTAAGACGACTAAGCACAAAAATATACAAAACAATGCTGAATATTGGTAATTGGATATGATTTTGACATAATTGTGTAAATAATATATTTTCAGATCTTGTAAAAATCTTTTTGATGTTAACTCGTAACGATAAGAGTAAAAAATGGTAAGATAAAGATTGCCTGAATCTTTGTCACTTTCTTCAGTTGATTCAGTGAGCTAAGAAAATGAAGTGTAAAAAGAAAAAAAAATAAAAAATACTACACAAATTATTTTCCTCTTAAAATTTTCTTTAATGACATTGTAACGAAATAGGAAATCATCCTAAGTGGCCCGGTTCATATTTCCTTTTAACCCTTGAAAAACTGAAAACGCTAATGTGACATAGCTCCTCATACGACATATACACAATATGTTCCGAGTTTTACTTTCAAATAAATACAATACCTACTCTATGTTAGCCTAATTACATGAATTTCCAATTATATCAGTAGATTGATTTGTCGGCTGAACCAAGTGCGTGCCTCGTTTTTCTTTTCCCCTTCCTCTTTTTTGGTTGTGGATGATGGTTTTTACAATTATGAGAGTATTTTCTTGCTAAATAATATCCCTTAAACATTAATGTTATATTTGTAGTCCGGATGTTGCAAGCCCCCGACGTCATGCGGGTTGGTATACATCAACGAGACGGTCTGGAACACTGGTGCCGGGCTTGTGGGTAGTGACCCGGATTGCCTGAGGTGGAGTAATGATCAAGAACAACTCTGCTTTGGTTGCGACTCGTGTAAAGCAGGGGTTTTAGCCAGCTTGAGAAAGAGCTGGAGAAAGGTATCGGTCATCAACATCGTCATGCTTATCATACTCGTCATCGTCTATGTTATTGCATGCGCAGCATTCAGGCACAACAAGAGGATCGATAATGATGAGCCTTATGGGGAGACGCGTATGGAGAAGGCGCAGCCTGCTAGGATACACTTTTAAGAGAATGGTTTTTTTTTTTTTTAAGTAATCATTAGCGAAGGATTGGTTTAATCATGATGTTTGTGTGGGGATTAAATTGAAGTTCTCTTCGGTGTTTTGTAGATGCGTATTGAAGCACACTATGAAATTGGTTTTGGTGGTTCGATTTTCTATTGAACACAAAAAATATAATTTATATGTTTGTAAATCCTAATGTGCTTTGCATGCCAAGCTGTTGTTTTCTTATTATTATTATTATTATTATTATTATTATTATTATTATTATTATTATTATTATTATTATTATTATTATTATTATTTGTACATTCTAATGCCATAATTTGTTCTACTTTTGATTTTGATTGATTAGTTGCACTCATATATTTATGTATTGAACACTGTTTTAAATAGTTCGCTATTGTTCGGTATGTAGCTTATTTTCGGAAAAACACGACGTAGCCTTATATATTTAGTGTTTTCCCAAATAGCTTACGCGAAATATTGAAATAACACGCTTTCTTAATTATTTTGCGCTATTTCACACTATTCTGTGTTACATTGCGTTATATTTCTACAACGATATAAAAACTCTTATTTTTTAGGGATTAGAGTCATACTAGTACAACACCCGTTTATTACACGGTTCTTGTTAAAAAATTATTCTTAAATTTTAAAATTAATGATATGTGTTTCTTATGACTTACATGTGTTATATTATACTACCTCCTATTTTTTTAAATGTCATTTTGGCTTTATCAACAATTAGCTAAATAAATGTCATTTTGGATCTTTTGTTCATATTTTTCCATTATTACCCTCATATAACTAATAAATACACTACGTCTTTTCATATTCACTCTTCATCTATTCTCAAAACATTAATCTCTATCCTCATTAATGAGGGTTCTAATTGGTAAAAAGAAAATTCTTAATTACTGTGCAAGTTCTCAAAACGACATTTATTAAAAAAATGACGGAGTATTAGTTTTTATAACTTATATCATATAACTACTTGAAATATAAATATATTAGTTGATAAATAATTTTATTTTTCTAATTAATATTAAAAAATAATTTTATTATTGCTATAAAGATAAATATAAATTATTTTTTTTATACATACAATATGGATGTTAAATCGAAGCTTATCAAAATAATATTAATTTGATATATTACATATGTAAAACTGATAAAAAATACAAAAGTTATTAACTTTTAAAATATATATACAATTCAATAGTTATAATAAGAAATGATATTAAAATGCAATTAATACATGACCATAAATAATCAACATATTTATGGTAATCCGAACTTAATTATTTTTAGTTTGGAATTAAATTAAAATTTACCAAATCCTAATAACGAAGCATGTTATTTTGCCACATAGGATTCCGAAGCACCAGAAGCAGCCACGTAGCTCAACGCGTTCTGGATTAATATATAGGGAGGATTTACAAATGACAACTAAAACCTAAAAATTTGGATAATGATTTCAAATTAAAAGTTTAAAAATGCAATGCCCTAACTTGAATAGTGCAATATTTATCGATGAATTTATGTTATATCATTTTATTTTTTTTGATATATGACATTTAAATAGAGAATAAAAAAATCATATTTGGTTAGAATTAAGTTTTAGATAAATAAAACAATAATAATTAAAATGCATATACTTAATTATACCATGACTTGCCTCGTTATATGTTCGTTGTTTGTTTTTAATTTTTAGTATATTCTACTTATAATTTAAATATTTATATTATGATGATATGTACATTAAATATTTGTAAAAAATAATCATTAGATGTTATTTTTAAGTCATTCAAATTCTATAATAATTTTTGTATTCAAACATCTAATTTTATTATATGCAAATATATTCGTAATATTTCTATAAAAAAATACCCAAATAGCTTACGCAACACGCAACACGCTCCCAGGCGGTTTCGGGGCCGGGGCTGGGTCGTGGCATTCTTTTGCCTGTTTGG